CTTGACAATCAAGTACATTTCACGACTACGGATACTGAGTATTTTTTATTTAAATGGATTCCTATCCAATCCGTAGTAGACTTTTTATCCCGTCTTCCTGTTTTTGTAAAGCCATTTTACTATCATTTTATATGTACGTCCATGATAGCTTGCAATAGTGCCCCCCCCCCCTGCCTAAGGACAACGTTGCACAAACTCGCTTCAGATATTTTTCTCTAGCTGGAACGGGAGCGAATGGTATTTTCGTTTCCAACTTGATAAGTGCACCAAATTTTTCAACATTGAGACCTCCATGGACCGTGGTTTTTCGACATAAACCTCCGTTTACGAGTTTTACCTTGTTTAACAGAAGTCGCCAGTCTCGACACATGTTTATGAGAGATGTCTACCCTTGGAGGCTACATGATTTAGAAACGATTTTGTCAGGTTTTTGGTCCGCCTAATCGAAGTGGGCTGGGAAGAACTCAGTGTAAAAAAGCTCATAGACATAGTAGTCATGTAATTTCCCCCACCCTAGCCTTAAGCTTAAACCCTTTCATCATGAAATACGAAGCGTCTGCACCGCAGGCCCCCCACCCCCGCTACTGACTTCCCGACAAGGGGCCCTCGCTCAAAACGTCGAATTTCTCCGTATATTTTTCAGGTAGTTTACGTCACTACTATAACGAAGTACTATTCCAGGAAACTCGGAAATATTCGTGATGCCATTCTATTTATTCAAGAAATTTACAAAAGGTAGCTTCCAAGTTCCAAGTTAGCAAAACATTTTTTGAGTTTACCACAATTTCAAATAACTCACACACGTTAGTCCTAAATTTATATATATCTGCAGGCATAGGCATGCATGTGATGACATTCTAAGGAATTTACAGGTATTAGACTAGTAGCTTTTAGTTAAGGTGGCAGTAGTTGGTGATCAATTTGAGAACTGCTGACACTTATTTTTGTTACAAGAATGTAGTACACTATACTACATCCCATTTATTTACTATCAATTAATTTATTAACTAACTGCAGGTGGTCCACCATCTATTACATGGCAAAGAGCTCTCATGGAGTTTGCCAAATTTTGAAAACGACAGTCACATTAATGTCACATTAATGTCATACTCCTAAATTAATACTACTTCTTTGAAAGACCTTTTCCCATTTGCGTACACGACAATGACACAGAAACGTGCAAACATTTTTGAAATATCCCTCGTGAAATGGATTCACTCCCTCTTTGAAGATCTTGAGATACGAGATTCTCGAGTGAGCCATGTGCTCCCATGTTGTTCGACCGATCACAATCAAGTACGAATGACAACCAAATAACAAGCCAACGTCAATCACGTTTATGACTAGTATCACCATAACAAGGAAAAATATGCCATTTGTATATGCCCATTCCGACCACACCTTTTTACTCGCTCGGGCACTGCCCGGTTTTCGACAGTCACAAAATAGAGTATCAATGAGCTGCCAAATTTTTACCCAAATTATCCATAATACTCCTGTCAATATTTACCCAAATTATCCATAAATAACCCTAAATTTTGAGGAAAATTCAAGAATTTTACTAGTTTATAGCCTGATAACAGACCTACGTTTCGCCCACCCTAAAATTCGCGGGTCGACGAAGAGCGAAACGTACGTAGGTCTGATGAAAATGTTGTCAAAAGTGCATGTAAGTCGACCGCCAGGCGGTCGACAAAGCTGATTGGCTAATTCACAGGGAAATGGGTTGTGATTGGTTGGTCGCTAACATGAAAAGATTTGAAAATATCAGAATATTCTCAACGGTAAATCAACAAATATTCTAAATATTTTGTGATGCCGAATTGAACGGCAACTATCTACCGTATAAAATTAAAACTAGAGGGGAGTAGAAGTATGCACAGAATAAATATCTGGGCCATCTGGCCATGTATTCTGTGGTGTGGATTTGACTATTGCTTTTTGAATGTTTTTGTACAGCATGCATTTAACGATTAATGCAAGTAAATCTTGTTATGGTCAAAAGAATATCTTATAGCCCGACAAAGACAGAAATGCAAAGACAGCGATCATCATTACTTGTGTGGAAGTTCGTCTTCTGTATATATCCTGAATTCGCCTAGGGCTGAGGCCTGAGGGAGGAAAATGTTTGCGTATAATTTTGCTATGAAACTCATGGAGTCATGGTGTGATGGTGGCAAATTTAAAATATAAAGGCCTGATGTAAGTGTATAGTCAGGGACGCCGGAACGATGTGAAGGCAAGGGGGGGGGGGCAGGTTTTCGTGAAAAGGCACTTTTGAATTGATCTTGAACTTCGCCTAATCATGTTTGTTATTTATTGGATGATAGGGGTGTGAGGGGGGTTCTCCGCCAGGCGATTGTGCTATTCTTGAAGCTTGATGACTGCATTTCTTGCGTTTTCTGAAGCAAATTAGTAAAAGAATTGCACTAACATTTCTGACAATTCGCTATTTCGCCAAGGCAATCCTTTAAATTGAAAGGGCACCTTTACCCCCCCTTGCCCCTCCTGGTAAAGGAAAACAGGGGCGGCTGCCCCTCCTGCTCCCCCCCCAGTTCTGGCTTCCCTGAGTGTAGTTGAAATTAAACCCTGAGTTTAACCCAGGTCAGTAAATATTTAAACGAGTACAATTGGGTTGTTCCAGAAAAGATCCATACTCCCCCACAGAGGAAATTTCTGCCGTCCAGAGGGGGAGGGGAGAAAAACTTGTTTCTGATAATAGTAAATGTATTCGGACATCCGAAAGGGGGTAGGAGGTTTAACTTCCCATTTCCTTCGTGGGGGTGGTATGGATGTTTTCTGGAATGACCCATTTCACGTTAAAGTATCTAGATTAATATTTGTTTGCTTTGTGGAAAACACCATGCATATTTATTACAAAGACTTTTGTTTCTCATGACAATGTAAAATTTAGGTATTTTTTATCCATATGGGATAAATGTTCCCAAATTCTCTACTTCCGCTTCCCTCCAAAAGGCACTGGAGCGGTATCGCCCAATATGAAAGTTAATTAAAGGCCATTTTCCACTTTAACACTATCGTATCAAAGCGGAGCGTATATTTCTTTGTTCCCTGAGTATTAGAGTGGAAATAATGACTTTGACACAAAAGAAAATGTTACGGTACGACAAGGTTGAAGTGGGAAACAGCCTTAATTAAAGATGGATGCAAACGTTAACCAATCAAATGTGGAGCGGAAAAAAATCCGAAAATAGCAAATCTCGTAACTATATGTTTAATTGAATTTACATATATGTGATGCCATTGGCCGGGTACTATATCTATATAACAAGGGGATTCAGCTCAGACAAACAAAAGACAGGCAAATATTAATCATCCAAATTGCCGCCATCCTTTTATGGAGTGGTTCCAAATCTTTTATTCAATCTCGTACCCAGGGTCTTTCCTCTTGGGGGAGAAAAGACCCTGGTAGACATTGGTCACATGATCTGCTAAAATCTAGCAGATTTTTAATTAGCAATCCAAGATGAGGTTAATAAATATTTTATATTTGGATGATTTTTATAGTTTAATTTATAATTTGCATTTTGTATGATTGTAAAGGAATCCAAGATAGTTTTTTACAAATCTTCTAGCTTTTAGCAGATCACGTCTATACCAGGGTCTTTTCTCCCCAATAGGAAAAACCCTGGGTACGAGGTCGACTTTTATTATGTTTCCTAAAATTTGGGAGTTACATAATGCATTAATGAAGTTATGTACAGTAGCTTGTACCCACAATACGCAGGCCGCTGTGGTATGCACGCGTGCTTACAATGAATGCCTAGTGACAACAAGGACAATGATGAACATTAAGGGATAAAATAGACTGCAAGAGTGTGATGGAAGATATGATAATGGTAACAGCCTGGTTCCTTGCCTATTCGCTTCCGCCTCACTATTTTAGGGTGGTATTTTGACAAGGTTTGCAGATTGAGGGAGTCTCAGACTTTTGGGGAGGGGCGGAAAGGCTCGGAACAAGGCTGGACTGGTATTATAAACTGGTATCTAAGGGTAGTGGTTATTGATCAAACTAGAGGGAGACAAATATACCTGATGACTTGTGAACTCACGAAAACGAAGCATAGCGAAGGCCGAGTACTTTTCGGAAGTGTGTATTAATTAATTCACACTATTGATATTACATATGAGGTTAGCTTGTTCAATAGTACATTTTTATAGTTATCAACCAAGAATCTGATATTGCTTCACAAAAGTCATTAAAACAAGTCCATTAATGTAAGGGACGCACCATTAGAGAAGTGAAGGGAGGCGCGGGGGTAGTATGTTTTAAAATATTTTGCTTGTATGGATTTTTCGGTTCCTACCCCGCCCCGTTCCTTTTCAAATGGTCCATCCCTAATAGTGATTCATCTAATTATTCTCATAATTAAGAATCGCAAATGTCAACACTATTTTCAAGTAGTTTTAGACGTTAATGTTGAGTTTTCATATTCAGAAGATTGTTAATTCTTGGTCCAGCGAACGCCAAAGAACATTTCCACACAGGTTCTGTTTTTACTTTTGGAAGGACCATGTTATTATTGTTACCACATGTGCTATTTATGTGGTTGCTTCTGGTGAAGCAATCTTGATAGACACATGCAGTTCCCAGTTCAGACATCCAAAACACATCTGCATCACCTTGAGAGTTTCAGAGAGTTCAGTGCTCATTTGAATCTTGAACCTCCATTATCCTTGTGTTAAAGTCTCGTGGGATTGTTTGAAACCCACCTATAATATAAACTACTATGATTACAACTCAGTATTGTGATATTTCTAGTTATGGTATTTATTCTAACCCATTCCGTTTGTTATCATTTCAAACTATAATATAAATGCTTAAACAAGGAAAATTTTGGCTTAATTATTTAGAACATTTGTTTTGGTTCGTGGAAACTCCACGTATATTTATTATTGAAAAGCTTTCGATCCGTAACAAGGATCTTCACGTCATTTCAAATATCCAGGGTATCTGGCGGAATTTTGGAATGGGGAATTCTTTCACATTATCTTTGTAATTTGCTTTTATACATCCGAAGACTGGACTGTCTGTGATGTCATTCTTGCCAAATGCTAGACCAAAATTAACCAAACCTGCCAAGTGGAGTCGAGTAAAGGCCTAGGTTCTAGGCTGCTATTAGCACTGACCAAGATCCGAGCTTACAAATGGAAAGGCTTGCAATATTAAAAATATACGCGGTGTTTCTACAAATCAAAATAAATATTTTATCGCCATGCAAACATGCAATGAGCATAAAATTATCTGGATTAAATTGTGGTGTGCAAAGGAATCAAGCAGCAGATATTTTACTGGCGGACACAGTTTTAGGAAATATAATCTTCCAATTTCTAAAAAAATGAATTTAGTTTAACTTTTTTATCAATAAAAACGAATTAAATGTCAACAATTTTATGTCAAGATTGGTTGTACCAGAAGGTATGTATACTCTTTTCCGCTCGTTGAAAACATATGCAATCAGGCAAACACTCACTTTTTACTTACCGATATAAATATCTTCTTTACCCAATCCATTTTCGCCAAGCTTGCAAGGACTAATTTTTCAGTGTACAAAGCTACACTAACATTGGCCCATGTAACCATTTCATCAAAGTTAGAAGCTCTGGCAAGATGTTGAGCTTTCTTAGAGAATTGAAACGCTTCTTCTAGGAATACTTCGTTTTTTTCTGGATTAACTTGGGCATACCGATAATAAAGGGTCGACTTTACCAAATTTAACTGAACTTCACGATATCGACTGAGCGAATACCCACTACATACCGACTTATTTAACGCCATTAGGCTAGACTTTGCTGTTTCCAGCCTTGATTGATTCACATGCTTCTCGATTATCTTTCCTGACATATCATACCCAAGATGAAATGTTGCCAAAAAGATGTACGCCTTGTGTTCCATTCCTACTTGTTCTTGACACCTTGGTGCATACTTCAAATGTTCAAGTACCTTCCTAGAAAGTTCAGCAGACGATGGACCATCCTTATTTAGTCCAGAGTTTTGATACATTGCCGCACATGATAATGTCACTGCTGTAACAATCCCTGGTGTTAATTGGTCCCCCTTTAA